ACACACACACACATACACACAAATACCCACACAATCATAAAAACGCACACGCACGTGCACGAACACGTACACACAGACCTCTGCAGTTCTTGAATTATGTTGATTTCCCCCTCCTCTCACGGCGCGCAAGCTCCACCAATCGGTTGCGAAATCGGACTTGGGTGCGTAGTAATCGGAAACGTCGCGGTGTGGGGGGCAACAAGCGCGCCATGGCGACACCGCGCATATATTTAGCGCGCGCGCGACAGGTCCTATAACCCCGTGCCGGACAGCGTGAGCACCTTCAGAATAGGAGCAGCCCCGAGTGTGAGAATCGGAAAAGGTTATTTAAAAGTTAGAAATCCGTCACAAACATTTTATCTCGCTCAGATACCCAGCGCAGGAGCGTCAATTCGGCTGGTTGAAACAAGACTGACAAGCGCCCAGTACTACATACAACTACACAAGCTTTCTTCGAAGAAATCTTATAACTTTTTTTTGTTGCCATCTCCACTTCTGAAAATTACTTTTGTGTTCCTGCTGGGTTTATTTTTTCTTCGCGAGTGGGAGAAAAGTGTGGAAGCTGCAAGGACGGAAGAAAGGACTGACTTTTAGTTTGAACTTGGATAGAAATAACTGAAGAAATCACGGGAATAATATCTACGAATCTCTATCTTCTGACAACACCAAAAACGACACCATCCATCGAACTTTCATTTCTGTGAAGGCAAGACTTTATCCATCACGCTGTCAACATTCGGACGAAGTAAGAGAGCACAGCTTTTCTGTTTTGACCACTCCAATCTGAGAGCGTAACAACTCACACCTTTCCAGCGTTCCTGAACCCTGCTTCTACTCTCCATCGCCCTAAGTTACGGTAAGTAGTAGTTTGAGGGTACTACGACAAAACCGCACACAATGGGAATCGATGGAAAGAGGGAAATGAATGTGCATGCTCTGTCAAAAATATCGTACTTTCTAAAAAAAATTAGACTCCTAAAACAATCGTCACGTGACCTGTTCGATCGAGCCTTTCTTTCTTTCTTTCCACTCGAGCTTTCCTTTGTTATCCCTTTCTCAATTCCTTTAATTCCTTCCGTCCTTGTTTTCCCCCTCCCCCCCCCCTTTTTTCCCCCTTTATTCTGTTCTTACTTCCGAACAAATTGTTAAAAACTGCAGTTGTGTTTACTACGTTTTAATAATTAATTAATGTTATCTGTTGAGGACTGCGACGTTACTGTGCTCTTTTCAGGCGGTTGGGCTATGTTTTCGTTCTGGCGTTGATGTTACATTTTTGTCTCTGTTGTTTCTGCCGCTGCTGTCGTTGTTGTCGTTGTTGTCGTTGTTGTCGTTGTTGTCGTTGTTGTCGTTGAATTTGTTATTGGAAGTGACAAGAAAAGAGATGCCATTGTTGTTGTTCTTGTTGTTCTTGTAGTTGCTGTTATCGTTGTTGAAGTTGTGATAGAAGAGCCGTCGTTTCCCTAACCCCAGTTCTCCTAACTAGTTGATGTCTGTGTGACACAGGTTTCCTGCATCCACAACATTTATTCCGAGAACGAGGACAATACGGCCGTTTTGATTTAACGTTTTGGCCCAGCGTAGTTAGAGCAGACTTCAGTACAAAATGTAAGTCGGTTTTTTTCGCCTCGTTTTAGGATTTGAAGCCATACCTCAAGCAACAAACTCCCAAGATTTCGTAGTTGCTGCCCAGGAAGGAGGTTGGGAGATTTTGGGAAGGTGTGAGGGTGGGGAAGGGGTCTGTTGAGTGAAATACCACAATTTTCTAAACTTTTCTGTCGTTTAGAAACACATAATATTCACGTGATTCTCCATTTCTCTAACTGGACCGTGTTAATCGTATGCATTCATTCATCTATTCATCATGTTTTAGAAAATATAACATTATTTGAATGTATCACTTCAGTGACGCATTTAATTTGTTCGTTTTCACTACTTAAATTTAACATGTGCGTAATACTTTGGTTACTTCAATGTTCTTGTTTATTCACTATTTACTGTCCTTGTGCAGTTTCCAACTTTTGCCAACCCTAACTTTCTTTTTTCTTGTTTTGTTTAGTTTTGTTGTTTGAATTTTGATTCTTTAGTCTGTTTTCCAGATTATTAAAGTCTGTAGCTTGTACCAAACTATTGAATTCACATGACAAACGCTCACTAAAGGGTCGCTGTGGGTTGTCAGTGAATCGAAGAATTGAGGCGTAATGTGGTGGATATTTTGATAATGTTGGATTATGTTTTAATTTCTTGGAATGGTGTAAGGGAGCTCATTCCGGGGTGTTGCCTTTTACATTGATAGAGAATATTTCTGCATGGATAAATTCTCATCTAAATATTAGTTGTTTTTATTCCCAAGTGAGTATCATGGTTTAGCTGACATATGTGTTTGTTGATAATCTTGAGGTAAGCTTTTCTTACGGCGTGAAGTGAAAGACAGAGGAATAGAGAGTGGGAGGGAGTTGCAGAGAGAGAAGGAGAGAGAGAGAGAGAGAGAGAGAGAGAGAGAGAGAGAGAGAGAGAGAGAGAGAGAGA